AAATCAGTATCAAATCAAATAGAAAGAAACATGCTTAAAGAATTAAAGAAACAAAATCAATTTTAATCCGCCGCTTGTTAGAATGTAACGCTTTATTTAAAAGTAGAGACAATAAAATCATTTCAAGTTTAAAAAACCATGTATCTTACTTAAGACTTTCCAGTGGACTTTGCCTTTCCTACAAACTACTAAATAGTAGTATAAAATAAAATGTGAAAAATAATCCGATGACATTGATTTTACCGCATGCCTAAAGTAGTGTGCAAATCACCACCAATTGTTTTTATAATTAAAGTTAAAGAGTGTAAATTAAATGATGTTGTTGATCATACATTTGTTTTTCATGTGCGCGAACAATTTGTGACTTTTCATTGTATTACTGGGAAACAAAACACGTTTGACAACATTTAATATTTGATATCTTTGACAAATTTATCGTATGGAAAAGAAAATCTAGTATAAAATCTTCGTAGCGTAGATCTAGATGTTAGTAAGGAATACATTTTGTTCTAGTGAAAGTTATAGTATGGCTACTTAACTCAATAATGGTACCGTTCTGTCTCAATAAAACAGCGAAACATCAGTCGACAGAATTGTCTTTTCGTTTATATACACATCTAGTGCTGTAAAATCGTATTTAAAGCTATTTTTCACTTAAAGTGTTCGATAATGAAATGGAGAACTATTGTGTTACTGAAAGCGGTACCAGATGTTACACATAATTTTAAGTTATATCATGGTCAAAGGATAATAATAATGATAAAAAAATGTATGAAAAAGAGATTTGAAAGAATATCCACCTGACGATTATAAACGAAGATAAATGAATCAACAAACACGTAAAAAAGAACTTGAAGATAAGATATGGAACAAATTAGTAATGGATGACTGTTCATTTGAAGAAAGGTTGTGTGTTTGAGAATAATCAACAAAATAAGAAGGAGTGATTAGATCACGTTAAAATAAGCGATTGGGTTTACCGCTTCTGGACAAAAGAAACTAAGCGTGGACTGATGAATCGCCAAAGCCCTTGCTATGCATAAGTTTCTTATCCAGCTTCCCTTCGATTTAGTTAGTTTTACTTTGCGAATAATTTTGATTGAGGTTTCTGTGAAGACAAACGACCGGAATTGACTAGATGTTCAGCAATCGAGCTGCTGATAGATTTATATTCGCCTTTCTATATCCATACTGGACAGTGATCGTAGATGTGTTTGGAAAGAGCAAACGTGGTGCTTTCAATATAAAAAACCATGCAAGAGCAAGTAAACCGGTAAATATGCCTTGTTTTAGCTCAAAGCGGCAGTTCGTACTTTACTTTACTTTACTTGCATTAGTCAACTTTAGAAAACACAATATTTAACTCAGATAAATAAAAAGGTTCTCTATTTCTCACTGAAACTATTCAGAAGTTATAAATTTCTTTCTGAGAAACTCAAATTTCATATTCAGTATCTCAAATGAGAACAACTAGATGTTTATCAGTCTTTATAATCTGTTTTCAACATTTATATCTTACATTATGGAGACAAGTATATTTAGTTAGTTCCCTTCGATTTCTTTCCTTTTATCATATACTGAAATGCATCTAAGTCATAATGATTGGACGTCATTTTCTTATGCATAAGATATATTTTGTAAAAAAAACCACAGTTGTATAATACGTATTATACACACTGCATTATTATAGTTGCTTATAGTTTCATCCCTGAATTAGAATTAAAACTAGTATAAATAAAACAACCAAGTCATTATTATGTTAGTTTACAGTTTAAGAAAACTTCTCGGATGAATGGAAGTCAAATTTACGAGTATATTTAATACTATAAATTACTCAAAGTATCTGAAAGTAAATTGTTTCGTTACAATTTTAAAGTATGGAAATTATTATTTCCCCTCTTTTCTTGGAGAACTCACGTCTTAGAAACAGTGAATGTTTCGTCTATTTAAAATACTTTTGGAAAGCATTAATTCAAACAACAGAATTTGTCAGAAAGATTGATTGTTAAATTGCCTAGATAACTTTTCAATTTTTTTGATTACTTTTCCGTTCAGCACAAATATAATTACTTTATAACAGTTTCTGAAAAAGGTGAACGAACGATTTAGGATAGTGGATCTTTGATTTTGTGAGAAACTCAAAAGATCACATTAAATGGAGTGTATCTGATTAGATGCTAAGTAGATATTGTCTATACTGAATTCCTAAGGTGCTCAAAATTGATAAGTATAACGGTTGTGCAATCACAGGGTAAAATGATGTAATTTGAAATTTAAACTATTATAAGCACATCTGAAACGTCAGTTTTCTAGTTGATACACTTTGGGTGACTCAGTACATAATCAAGGTTCCTCAGGTTTACTTGTTCTCCATAACCTAATCAATACAGAAAAGTTATTTATTGACTACAATTTATGTGAATGATATCATCTCCACCACTAAAGAGTTTAAAGGTTACAGTCATCGAGTGATCATCCGTAAATGTCATTATGTCAACCGTATCAGTGCGATCATTGCTAATGTAGTCATTATTATGAAATTATTTTGGGGCTTTAAATACCTCTTCAAGTAAAATAAACTCAAGTCATATGGACGAGCTTTTTCATATCTAAGCTACTTTGATTTAAAAACCACCTATCGTATTACGAACTCTGATCTGTTTATTATTCATTTAGAAAGTATATATTTATCTTAATTTTTTTGGTTTTCTGAAGTCAACTATTCATTTATATGACATATTTACCAACTAGCTAAAAGTTCGTTTAAGGTTGTCCACCAAAGTTTAGTGTCGAATTCGAGAAATTACAGTACATACAGAATTTCTTTGAGAATAGGAGTAAGGACCAAATATATCTATTTTGTAAATCATCTGTAATGAAATATTTTAAAGTGTTTAGAAAATCAATGAAAACAACTATACAAATACACGAAATCATAGAAAAAAGAGTTAAAACAATATTACATTATTATAGATCTGTACAATTGTGCATTTAAGTAGTTTCTACAATATCTTTCATAAGATATGCTTAAATAATGCAGTTTTTACAAAGTAAATAAATGTAAATCAATGTAAATTGTGGTAGGATTTAATCAATAACTGTTGGATAACATTCAGATAAATCTCATTAGTATAAATGATTGAGAATAATAGAATATAATAATTAAATACAAAATTTAGAACTTGGATATGTTGAGGATGTTAGATCCCCAGAACTCACTTGGAAAAGTTCCTAATTTTGTAATTTTATTCTGTAAATTTGAATTCTATGTTCTCGTGCCTAGAGACACTTATTTGACTTACAGCTTACATTTCCCAATCGGAAATCCTTGACTGTCATCGGTAGATGGAATATTTTTAGTACGCTATTTTTCGGCTCTCCCAAGGGTGTTTCTCTCATTGTATAAATAAGCTTGATTTGTGTGCTTAGTGACCTCGTATTTTCTGGGTGCTTGTAGAACACATTCTCTACGCCTCAGCAAGACTTCTTGATCTAGTTAGCAGGGCAGAGAACAACGGATTAGAATAGCATATCGTGTCACTTCATCTTTAACCTTCGTTCCGTTTACCGAGTAAAGTGGACTCGTAATAGCATTCAAGCATATCAGAATATCATTTATAAATGATGACTATGGAAACAAAAACTTTAGAAAAAAGTATTTCTGTTCATATTTTTTCGTAGTAAGTCGGAAAAATTCAATTCATACTGTTATCATTTATAATGATATCGATTTGTCTGTTTTAGAAATACCATGCCATGCGTGAATACTTACCATGTACTTCTTTACAATCTATGTTTTCTCATCAGTTTAATTATTCATTTATGATCTTTGTTTATTTTAACTAAATATCAACTATATTCACTTGGTGTTGTTTACTTGTCGTTTAATTCCCATTGTTATTCAGAACTGCAATTAATCAGTCTCTATATTGCATAAATTCCATTCGTCGAAATTAAATATCACTAGCAAACAAATAAGCTCCCCATGCCTTTCTTTTATTTCACAATAGACAATTCTAAACCATATTTCACTAATATGCTTAGCTAGTAAACACTATTTTAATGCTTTTATATAAATTTAATAATTTCTTTTTATAATTCAATAAAATAACTAGTTTATCAAAGAATATTTCCCTTTTTTCGAACAAATTCATATGTACTACTTAAATAAGTTACTAATAGGAAATTCATTATTATCATTTTTTAAATGAATAAAAACAATCCAGACACTTCATTGTATTCTGTTTTATTTCAATACAAATGGATAAAAATATGTAAGTTGACTAATATATTAGATTGATTTAAAGAGGAAATTATTCACATATTTGTCAGAAGTTTTATAATAAGCAAATAAAATGCATCAATATATAACCTGGGACAATTTTGTAAAGTACAATTTTAGGACCATTTCAAATGTTTTAGATTATATCCAATGTGTATTTGTGTATATATGTGTGTTCAACACCCACACTCATAAAGAAATTTTCACATCCCACACATAGACAAAGAGTTTAAAGAAGATTATTATCCAAATGAGGAATTTTTTCAGAAATGTATAAATTTGTGTGGTAACTATAACCAATCACAATTTGTTTAGCCAATATTCATTGGGCTAAGGTATTGGTAATTATGATTTTGTCATCTGGGAAGCATAATAATACTTTTTTAAATACTCCATAAATACCTACAGTGTTTATTGTAAATGAATCGTTTATCAGATAAATAGACCCAATACTTTCACTCCAAAGGTCATTTTGATAACGAGGGTTATTCAAATATTTTCAAGGTATTTAAATTCGCTTAGTTCGAAACTACATGAAAACTTGGTGTTAAAACTGACTCCAAAGCATACAAACATATATAATTACTAATAATCAACATCATTTTTTTTATTTAAAAGTGATTATACTTATTACTGATTTATTATATATTATATCTTTAATGCGTGATTAAACAAACTTATTCATTATTAATAATGTTGGGTTATGTAACAATTGAAGTACAAGGAGAGAATATGGAAGGTGCAGCACGTCATGCTCAAAGATTAGCTGGAAATTTTCTTGAAGATATGGAAGCAATACAAAAAGCTTCTCGTGAAAGAGATAGACGGGCGATGAGTCATTTTGAAACTAATTCTGTGGTAAGTCTACATTATATTTTGTTAATTTTAATCTTTTGAGCATTATATATTTATTTAAAAGTAGTAATCGGTGTACAAAAATATAAACATTTTTGGAAAAGTAATTATATATATATATATATATATCACTTCTCACTGTGTTTACAAAGTTCATGAATAAGAATCGCATAAATTATCACTGAAAACAAATAGTAGTATCAAAATTACATTTCAGTTCAGATCATGCTAACGGTGTTGATGATGAGAACTGTAAGTGATGAGGAAATAGCTGTCAACGTAATCATTTTTAAGTTTTTAATTACTATTGAGTTATTGCTCAAGATACTCATCATCTGAAATGATTAAGCAAATAGTCATGTTCACGATAATTGAAAAACGATCCAAGAGTATTGGAATTTACAAGATATTACATGTTTTCTGAATTGAGATATGTGGTTTTTTCTTCAAATATATTTATCAAATATATTTATTAGTTTTTAGGGTTGGTAGTGTACTAGTTCGAAAAGATTTTCATCAAAGTTTGGTTTATTTGTATTATATAAAACTTTAAAATGTTTAGTAATCTGAATAGATTTGAGTTACGTAACATGGAATCATTTTGTTTCGTCAACTTGTTAACGTCTAATAATAACATAAACAATATAATAAGTTATAAATATAAAGTTACTTTTTATAGGAAACCAAAGTTGACCAACAATTAGTAGAAATACTAATCTGTATTGCAATGATATGTTAAATTGACATGAAAACCATTGAAAGACAGATAAGGCAGTTTAAAAATTGTAATGCAGTACCTAAATGAAACTTTTTGACGATTGTTATTACTCCCTTTAATGCAATAAAAAAGTATATTTGAATACCATAAAATATTTACGTATATTTATGTGATGCAATTAGTCTGTTTGATAAAATTCGATAGTGTAATAAGAAGACGAAGATTATCAGAAAACAAAATGATGTGAAAATAGTTTGAAACCTCATCAATCTGGATAATAAGCTAAGATTATCAGGGTAGATTTAAGATGAGAACATATGTGCACATGTACCTAAATGATTGCAGAAATAAATAAAATCAAATGATCCAATAAGAGTAGAGGATAAATACCCATCATCCTCTATTGCCAAACACATCATTGAAACAGGTCATAAGATTGATCTTAACTTGACTTTTGTGGTGTTGTACAAAAGTATAAAAGGGCGTATACTATGGTTTATTGATGCCTTAGCCATATGAAAATTCATACCTCCTCTGTGTAATTAAAAACAGCTTGTTTTCACCTTAAACCTACCCTGATAATATTAACTTAATATCCAGTGTAATGGATTTTTACATTATTTTTCATATTTCCTTTGTTATCTTTGTCTCCTATAACCCCCCCCCCATTTCGAGTCTAGTTAACCCTTTATTTTTATATGAAAATGTTCTTTACAAGCATATGTGTGATCAGATTGTTCGAATTGTATTGCCCCAATATACCATTACATAGTTCTGATAATCTTCATCTTCTTATTACACTACGGAAATTTATCAAAGGGACTAATTGTTTTAAATTCCTTAAAAGAAGACTCCCTGTACATACAAAAATTATCATTTTTATTTCATTAGGTGTTAAGTTTGCTAGAGTATTATGTTTTATATGATTCAATGTTCAATTTGTTTCTAAGATAACATTTCTATTCATAGATAAATACCTAAGGTCAGGTGAAAGTATAGAATTTTTAATTGATGAAAAATATCATAATGAATAGAAAACAGCTTAACTTTAAAAATATGGAAATAGAAAACATTGTCTGATAGATTGGGTTGGTAACAAGGGCTTTATGATGTGAACAGAAACATCTAATTACTCAATTATCAAAATGTAAAAAACAAAAAGAATATTCTAATTATTTTAATGTATGAAAATAACTATTCTTAGTGCATAATGTGAAACTTTTTTAATTTCACTTCAATAATATTTGATTTATAAAGGATTAAGTTTAGCTATGATTTTCAAAATTCACAATATTTTACTCAGGACAATGTAAACATGTCACATACATTATGATAAGGACTGTAATCATTACTATGTTGTTACTACTTAATTTTATCGTCATTAAATAGTAGTTTTCTCAAGCAATAATTGCTATATATATAATCTTCATTTCGACGAAATCATTTGCTTAAGCTGTACATTCGTATATATATATATGGAAAACAAATGTTCATAGGAGGATACAAAAGATTGCATCATAAAATGGATTTGTGGCTAAATAACAAATGAGGTTACATACTAATCAAGGAGTCGATTGAAGCTAGACCACCATGGAAAACCTGGAAGCACTGCACGGCCGTTTTGTCCTAGTGTGGGTCCTGGGTTCGAATCTCGCGGGGTGCAGGATCGTAGATGCACGCTGCCGAAGAGTCCCATACTAGGACGAAACAGCCGTCCAGTGCTTCTAGGTTTTCCATGCTGGTCTAGCTTCAACTGACTCATGACTTCAACCATTGAAATCCAATAAAAGTGAAAAAAACACGCAAAGAACCAGAAACATGCCCATTAAGGGGATTAGGGCCAAGGAAGGATGAGAGGTTGAACGAATCGTTTCTGCACACAAAGTTCAGGCTTGAGTTCATGGATTACCAATTCCTCAGCAATGCATAAAATATTGATTCGACACCACTTCAATCCAGTTCTTTTGACTCTGTAGATTACTTTAAAAGAACTTTTCGGAGCGATGCGTCCACAATTAATTAAATGCTCCTGTATAAAAGTAGTAATTGTTTTACATTCTCCTTTTAAAAGCCAAGCCGGATAATGTTCTGAGATGCGTTTAGACAATGACCGCTTTGTGCGGCCTATGTAACGTCCACCACATGAGCAAGTAAATTTATAGATATTAAGCACTAAACAGTTTAGGCTTATAATGAGACTAAGCATGACAGTCACTCAATCCGATGTAGTTTTCATCAGATTTTCAGGTGATATCAATACTCGATTAAAACTAGCTTTAAATTTATATCGAATGTGAAATTGGTGAATGCGTGATGCATTCAGTACCAAAGCTGATAACAAGTATATTTTTTATAGAAATACAAAGTTTAGTCGTTATATGAATAAAGGATTGTGGTTAATAGAGGAATCAAGGTGTTTTATTTCATCATAATTGGTACTCATCGACTGAATGCACGTGTTTCCTATCGTTGAATTTTACATCAGTTCTATGACCTGGTACATTTTGCCTTAAACTGACAACACGTTATTCATTGAGCATCGTATAGGATTTACATTTGTCAATAAAATTGATCGCAATCATTAACAACATCAGGATAATTCAAAACCTAATCTAATGGTAATATAACGAATATTGTCTTGAGTGAAACAGTTAATAGTTTGTAACCTCTACATATATCATACTTCATAAAATAAACGATTTTCAGGTAAGAATATCGAATTGTTCAATGTTTAGAGGACCGAAATCTGACTCCAATTAGATCGTATGAATGTTTGTTACCGCCTATCCTCGTATAAAATCATCGACTTAAATCGCGTTAGTCAATAACGAGATTTAAATAAGTCGAATAACGAGAATGGACTTGTGAACACACATATTTTTATATATAAAGCGAATGGAATAGAACAAAGCAAAACGACGAGCAGTGGAGATGGCTGGTAAACCAACTCTCATTTAACCAAGCGTTAACCAATAATTATATTTACACAAAAATTGGTTACAGAAATGTGATGAGTAATGGGAGAAGGAGTGTACACACACCTACGCGCTCATATAAAAACAGTCAAGGTTGATAAGCGAATAATTAACAAGGTCAAAATGTGACTCAAGTGGAATGAATAGAATGAGCTGTCCGAAATCTAAAATAAGGTATATGGGCTTAACATAATAACCGACACTACAAATGTACTAAACCTTTACGTAACTTTATTTAACTTTATTCATTAAAAATCAAACTAGAATTTCATTTCAATTTATAAACCTGAAAAACGAAAGATAAACATCAAATTTAATCAATTAATGTGGAAATAGAGGTCAATTTACTTTTCAACTAATCAATATAAAAAGTTTATATTTATGTTACTAACTCTTTGTTACCCTAAACCTATCTATTTTACTAATATCCAATTATAGATTATCATTTTTCTGTTTATTTTAAAGTAACTATATAATAAAAACGTTCTTTGTTGCATTTTTTAAATCAAAAAGGAAACCTTGGAACCAACTACACAGAAGAATATAGAATATAGAACAGACTTTGGTAAACACCGATATAGAAATAGGAAATGTCAGTTAAAGATATGTCTGTTAACTAGATTTCGGACTGAATATCCTTTGAAATAGTATTTTCACAAAAACGAAACATTATGTTAAAGCTTTGAGGCTGTAAACGGATTTTTATATTTCTTTTTGATATAATAAGATTAGTCCCTTATTGGAGGATAATACAGCTCTTTTTTCATAAATAGTTATGTCAGAAATGATTCGAATATGTTCAATTTCTCCAGAACCAATTGTCAAGATCATATGATTTTTAAAATACACAAATTGACTAAAATTCGCTTGGCTCATCTATATATACATTATGTAATGTATTAGATTATTATATATACAATATTTTACTCACAAATGCAGTGAAGTGAACTGCAAGTATTCCTCTTGACTGGCTATAAATAAGATGAAATACTTAGTAACATGATTTCTGTCGAACTTGAATGACATAATTGCCTTGAAAGTTTGCTTTAATCTTTCAAATAGAATATATATCAATCTAAAACTTTTTAACAATTCATTTGATCTTTACAGTATTTCTCTCCGTTATGGTTTAACAGAATAAAAATAATTAAGTCCTAACAGCATATACATTCCAAATATTATCGGTTAGGTTATTATGCTTACATTAATCTAAAAAGAAGAGAGAAGAGAATATAAGTTATTTCATATGAATATTTCTCATTATTTGAATAGAATAGTTGTCCAAAATTAGGAATCGTTATGGAAGACAT